TGTCTACGGACAGAAAGTGCAGAGAACCGGATACCCTTTTCACTGGAAAGAAGGCATTCCATCTTAGTTCTCGCGGGTGACAATGCATTTGCGTTTTGATTCTTAATCGAGGATAGATGTAGATGTCTATGGGATACAGCATCTATGTACCATCAGGTGGACTGTGTGCTCGTTTGTCGCCCGTATCCAACTCGCATTGTGGAAACGCGGTTGACACCTCCTTTCTCTAAGAAATGAGAAAAAGCCTGTGCTCAGGTATGGGACGTATATAATGTTACATTACTTTATTTTTTATTTTTAACGCACGATGAAGACAGAGGAGTGTTGTAATTATGTTTGTAGCGTGTACGAGTATCTGTATATCTGTGTATATGTATGTGTGTCTGTCTGTAGCATCACAGCTCCTGAACGGATGAATCGATTTTGATTATTTTTTTTTCGTTTGAAATGTGTATTAATCGAGAGTGTTCTTAGTTATATTTCAGGAAAAACTGTTCAGCCGTTTGAAGATCATCAGATCTTTTTTTCTGTATTTCACATTAACCTTCTTCCTTATAAACCCGTGAAAGATTTTTCTGGAGTTTCCATGGTCGCCTCTTATGAAACGAATTGTGGTGATGAATTGTCTTACAACACCACATACCTAGTTGCTTCCACATTAGACATTACAGGACATTATCGAAAGGTTCTCACAAATCACAGAGTACTGAAATTCGAAATGATCCATTTGAATTATTGACCCGAATGACCCGGTTCGTAAGAAAAATCATTACTTGAATGATCGGGTCACTAGAAATGAATGAATGAGACATGTCAAATGTACGTCACATGGAAACCTAACTTAAATTACATCGTTAATCTAGGTATCGCTAAGTTTGGGTAATTATTCCCAACATGTCGTTATGCCGATGTGAAAACTGTCACATAAAAATGGCGCTGAATGGTTAATCGACGCTTTTGCTGTGGAAATTATAGTGACAGGAATCGATAATTTCTTTATTAGAAATGTTCTTCACCTTAAAAGCGGGAAAACTTTTCTTTTCGCGCCTAATAACGTGCTTTTGTCATTTTTAGGTAATGGACTAGTAAGGTTGTTTTTTTACCAGTGTTAAATCTTATGAAAAATTAGGCTTTATAATTATTTGTTAATAAACTTCTTTCACAATATGTAAATGTGAAGTGTGTTACATTGTGAAGTTTTTGGGAGATTTTTACGGTAGCTTGATCTAGCAGACAGTCAATGACCTCAAGGCGCCTAAGCAAACAGAATAACTTGAGGTCAATATCACCATCGGATCACTTATTTCGTAGTTTCTACTAGTAGTTCACATGCGCAGACATTTGTTACGCAAAATCGCATTTTTTTCACATTTTTATCCAAATTTCATTTTCTTTTTTATAGGACAAACGAGCATGCGGCTCACCTGATGGTAAGTGACTACCGCCGCCCACGAACAACCGCAACACCAGGGGAACCAGGGGCATTGCAGATGCTTTGCCGGCCTTTTAAAAAGGAATAGGCTCTTTTCTTGAAGATCCCTAAGTCGTATCGGTCTGGAAAAATCGCTGATGGTAATCGATTCCACAAGAAAGTTGTGCGAGGAAGAAAACATCTAAATCGCACAGTGGTGGACCACCAATCATCCAGGTGGTGTGGATGGTATCGGGAGTCCTGCCGCGATGAGCGTTCGTGAAATTTGGCGGCTGGGATTAATCCGACCAATTTCTCAGAGCCCCGTGGTAAATGCAAAAGAAAATAAAAATGCCGGATGTCAAGTTCATGTTATTTTAAAAATTAAGCTTTAAGTAATATGTAATTTGGAATTCGAAGTCATGTGCTAGATATTAGGTTTAAAGCCAGTCAGGCAAAGAAAAAGTAACTTCATTGGTAAATAGGTATATATCTAATAAATATATCATTATCATTCATCATTACAGCCCTTCACAAGTCCATTGCTGAATATAGGCCTCCCCCAAGGAATGCCACAAAGCACGGTCCTGAGCCACCTGCATCCATCGACTTCCTGCATGTCTCACCAGGTCGTCACTCCATCTCGTGGGGGGTCGGTCGCCGTACACTTCGCCTACTAGTACGACGCTGCCACTCGAGAACCTTTCTTCCCCATAGGTTGTCGGTTCTTCGAGCTATATGGCCGGCCCACTGCCACTTCAGCTTACTAATCTTAATAATAAAGTTAATAATCTACATAATAAGCTTATAATAATCTTACTAATAAAGTTTTGACAATAATTTTCTACAATTATATGTAATAATATACAAAAGCCCGTAAATGATAAATATATTTACCATGCTATAAGAGCTTAGCGTTAGTTTAATGTAAAAAAAAAAAATCGATTTTGAAAGAACCTGTTTAAAAACTTGAATATCTATACTCGTTGACGACTCGTCGATCGTCGACGACCGAGTTCTTTCTGATCGGCCCGATACACTGGCGCTGGGTAGGGATGTTGCACCCTTTTGCATTTTCTATCGAATCTACCACGGGGAGTGCTCTGTGCTCTGTTCGGATTAATCCCAGCCGCCAAATTTCACGAACGCAAATCGCGTCAAAATTCATGATACCATCCTCACCATCCGGATGCTTGGCGGTCCACGACAGTCCGTTTTACTAGAAGTTTTCTTCCTCGTACAACTTCTCTGTGGAATTGTTTACCATCGGCGATTTTTCCGGACCGATAAGACTTAGGGACCTTCAAGAAAAGAGCTTACACTTTTCTAAAAGGCCGGCAACGCATCTGCAATTCCCCTGGTGTTGCGGTTGTTCATGGGCGGCGGTAGTCACTTACAATCAGGTGAGCCGCATGCTCGTTTGCCCCCTCTTCTATATATAAAAAACTAAAATACGTGATAGTTGATTCTGCATCTCAAAAACTGGTTGGCGGTCATAACCACTCCCAGGGAAATAACTCGTTCAATTAACATGAAGCAGAAAAAAATAATGTTATTCAGACCGATTTCTTTTTTTAGTTCTAAAATTGCGGGTCGCAGCGATCAGTTCAAAAGACTCTAACCATCTGCACAGCACAGGGCAGGCGCACAAGTGTGTGCCCAAACACAGATGTTCTCCCTGATGCCTCACTCTCATAGTCCAATGGGACGGCAATTCGATACAAGCAGAGATAGATCAAGTCCAACCAACCTTAACAGCACGTTAAGACAAACGGCTTAATGTGCTGTTAAGGCACGAGGTGAAACACCGTCAACTACTTGACTTCAGACTGCTTGTGAGAATTTCTTGATATAAAAACAAATGCTAAATCTAAATTTTTGTAAGTACAAACAACTTTAATGTGATTATAATTTATTGTTGATTTTTTAAAAACCGCTCGACCGATTTCGATAAAATTTTAATGGGACCACCTGGAAAGTACAACCTTAAAAACAAAAATATAATTTTCCAAATCGATTTAGGCGTCTTTGAATAATCGGTGAACATAAAAAAAAAAGATTCCGACGAATTGTAAACCTCTCTTCATTTTTGAAGTCGGTTGAAAATTAAAATAAACCATACACAAAGTAAACTCTTAAGTGCTAAGGTTTAACAGACCATATTATGAGCTGAACGCCTAAGTTAAACCACCCGCATAAAGTTTAGTAGCAGGCGGGACTAGGGTTGCCATCTGTCCAGCTTTAGCCGGACACGTTTGGGATTTTCGGGTTGTGTCCGGCCAAATTTTTATGTGTCCGGCCTGTTAGGCTTTTTGTTAGTGTAACGCGTTGCACGCATCGCTTGCAGAATAAATAAATAAGTAACGTATATACTTGAAACTGTGCTGTGATTGATTAATAAACAATTAACGTATGTAACGGAGTATTTTACTTGTTTTCTCGGGGGGGTTAGAGTTGGTGAGTTTTTTGGCTTGCATGGCCTCATAAAGGTATGTTTGGCCAAAAATTACTGTCCGGCTTTTAGGGCCAAAAGTCCGGCTTTTTCATCTTAGGAGATGGCAATCCTAGGCGGGACCCAACTGCTAATTATGGAGTTTTGGCGGGAACTTGACCGGCGACGGTTTGCTGCTCCTGTATTATTGTTTAAATAATAGTTTGAAGTGGATTTTGATATGTAAAAGTGGTGCGATTTTATGTATTAACTGTCTACGCATGTGAACTATTAGTGGAAACGGTGAAACAAGTGCTCTGATGGTGATGGATTCTCAAGATAAGCTGTTTGTCTGCATAGGCTCCTTTAGATACCATCGCCAACTGTCAGCTGTCTGCTGGCTCAAGTTGCCGTCAAAATCTCCCAAGGGCCGCACAATGTGACGCATCAACATATTGTGAAGCAGTGAACTATGAAGGATAATTATACATTTGGAAAATTATAATAAACCGAATAAAAATACTCAAGACTTGGCCTAAAGGTCTAGATACCAGGCCATAAACTCCAAAAAAAAACTGCTAAAGAAAGAATTATTTGCTGAAGAAAGAAAATTAATGGGTTCCGCTTGCTATTAAACTTAATGTGGGTATTTACGTCTGTTTAGTGCATTACTTTTAAATTGTCTTATTTGCAGTTGGGTTTTTGATTTTTTAATTATTTATTTTATTTTAGACTCTTTAGTGTAGGACCGGCACTCTCTTATGAACAAAATCTGTGTTACTTATTCATATTATAATAGCACGAGATCCGATACAAATATGGACAATTGTTTTACGCTATCAAAAACTTTTTATACCAATTTATTAGTTTAATTTAATTAAACACATAACTTATACATATTTTTTTTTGATTGTATTTGATTTCTTTTTTCTATTTCGCGCCAAAAAGCCGCCATTTTGTTTTTTTTCAAACAGCTATCTAAGAACATTTGGGTTTATAAGACGAATATTTTTTTTTATTAACGTTAGGAAGATACGAAGTAATAAAGAAATTTACAAACATACCTACGAGATAAGCCCGAAAAACATAACACATGCTTGGCGGTCGGGTAAAAAAATATTGTTAAGTAATTGTTGTAGGTATATATTTCTGACTTACCTTCGTACTGAGCCTTGGCGAGCACGGCATAACACATAATTAATAAAACAACATTGTTTCCTCTTGACATCGTTCACTATAACTGGTTTTCAGTATTAAAATATCAAACAAAAATATAATGTTACATATGTACCAAAACAATTTTTAAGTTTATTTTCTAGGCAACCTATGTTATTATGCTATGACGGCGAAAATTAGTACGAAGTTCCAACTTTTTGTGTTATTAATGAGATCAATACTTCCCAGCGCGTCTGTATACACGCTCTCACTACCAAAGACTAAAGCACTATCTCACCACATTACAAGGTCATAATTTTATAATTTAACCTGTAGGTACACTAGTGTCAATGACTACATAATACGAGAGATCCCATTAATGTAACTCGGTACGTTATTAATTATCATGAAGTAATAACTGCCCGCTGTGTATCGTAAAAGATTACTTTTTTTTTAAAGAATAAGGGTGACAAACGAGCACACAGTCCACCTGACGGTAAATGGATACTGTGATCCATAGACACCTACATCTATCCTCAGGTAAGAATCAAAATGCAGATGCATTGTCGCCCCTGAGGACTAAGATGGAATGACGGCTCCGTGGCGCAGTGGCTTATTAGTAATGAGTTATTGCGCTGGGGGCCGCGGGTTCAAATCCCGAATGGAACAAGTATTTGTATGGTTTATAAATAATTGTTCCGAGTCTGGATGTTTGTCCTCGTGCAATTTATGTTTGTAAACTGCCTCCACGATACAGGAGAAACTCTTAGTGTGGGGGTAACGTTTTCAAAAAACTAGAAAAAAATGCCTCGTTTACAGTAAAAAGGGTCTCCGGTTCTCTACACTCACCATACGAAACACAGCAGAATTAAGCTGCTATTTTACGCTGGTATTCTGTGAGAGCGTGGTCCTTCCCCGGTTGAGCCGACCCATACGTGCTACAACGGTAATATAGTTATAAAATAGTATGCCATGTATAAAATAAGCAAAATAAATAATAACAATCTTTATTTCACTTACATAATGCTTTAACTTGCTATACTTTGATTTGGAAAACACCTTTTAAGCAAGGAAATGCTTGCGTTAGGTGACTATGCTCTTCCATTTAACATTATACAGTGAATGCAAATGGAAACAAAATTAAAGTACAAAATACAAAAAAGATAAGCAGCGCACTTGAGTTACGGGTGCGAGTGAGTTTTTGCGTGTGCGTGTGTGTAATAGTGTATGTGTATGTGTGTGTATAAGCAATGGTTAATAATACATACACTTTTTATTACATTTATTCATTGATTTATTACATCCCACAAGTCCACTGCTGAGCATAGGCCTCCATAATGGTATGCTAGCATTTGTTTGCCACAGGTCGTTTCTGAACTCCGTAAAGAGAACTGCAACCGCCGCATCATCCTCCATCACGACAATGCGAGTTCTCACACCGCACACAGAACAAAAGAGTTTTTAGAGCAAAAAAACATAGAACTATTAGACCATCCGTCGTACAGCCCCGACCTAAGCCCTAATGATTTCTATACTTTCCCTAAAATAAAGAATAAATTGCGTGGACAGAGATTTTCATCACCTGAAGAAGCTGTGGACGCCTACAAAACGGCCATTTTGGAGACCCCAACTTCCGAATGGAATGGTTGCTTCAATGATTGGTTCCATCGTATGGAAAAATGTGTCAAATTTCGCGGAGAATACTTCGAAAAGCAATAAATACATTTTTAAATAGTAATGTTGTGTCACTTCTTTGATTCCCGAAATTTTCAGTGCCGCCCTCGTATCGTCTTAAGGACGGGATATACAGTATTACTGCCACGATCGGCAGGACGGGTTTTAACCGCAGTATTATTATTGTTCAGTTGTGTAAGAAACGCCGCTGCCTACCCCCCGTTCCAGTTTCTTTAGTCGACTCTAACATCTACTTGAATACACATGAATTTTAATTTGATTAAAAAAAACAGTCAAAATTGTCTTTGTGAAATTTATGTATGTAAACTAACCCCCACGATACAGGAGAAATTCTAGTGTGACAGTAAGGTTTTTTTTAAGAGAAAATGAAAGAAAGATTGAAGATTATATTTAAAAAAAAATCAGTCAAATACCTTTTAATTCTGTAGTGGCGGTGTAAGAATATCCGCTACATTATTTCGTCCCGAGAATTTCGTAAAAGGCGACAAATGGAAACCGTAACAGGAGAAGATAAAAATCCTGACAAAAATTCAAAATAATAATAAACTGCGGTTGCCAAGATAGTAACTATTGCAACACTTCAACACTGCAACACTTCTCACAGAAAACCAGCGTAAAATAGCAGCTTAACGCTGCTGTGTTTCGTATGGTGAGTGTACAGAACCGGAGACCCTTTTTACTGGCAAAGAGGCATTCCATCTTAGTCCTCACGGGTGACAACGCATCTGCATCTTGATTCTTTATTGAGGATAGATGTAGATGTCTATGGCTCACAGTAACCACTTACCATCAGGTGGACTGCTCGTTTGTCACCAAATCCTATAAAAAAAAAAAACTTATGAGTCAATCTAGTGCGGAGGCCTAGATTCATCAGTGGACTTTTATAGACTGTAAAAACTTTTTAATTGTTTATTTCTTTACACTATATCTATTTATTTATAACTAGCTGTTCCTCGCGACTTCCCCCGCGTGTAATTTAGGGTTTAAATTCTGTTCCGCGGAACCCTAATTATTTAAAAAAAATATATAAGTAGCCTAAGTTACTCCTTACAACATGAGCTATCTACCAGTGAAAGTCCCGTCGAAATCGGTCCAGCTGTTTAGGAGATTAGCCGGAACAAACAGACAGACAGACAAAAATTTTAAAACTTGTGTTTCTGTTATAGGTACCGTATATACTTTTATATGCTGTTAGTAAAAAAGGTGTTATTTTGACATTACAAAGGGACACTTCAATTTTATTTATTTGTATAGATAATAGTAGAACGAAAAAGGAAAAATAAAATGAAGTGCTATAAATTAAAAAAATATTTATATTAAAAAAACTTTCGTAGACACTTAGGCGAGCTCTCATCTCAGGGGTACCACGTTCAGAGCCGGAGCGACATCAGAGATAGCTAAACCGAGTAGGTGACGCAAATATCAGTGTCTGAGATTGTGCCATTTGCTGTAGAGACTATCGGTCCGTGAGGTCCTCGTGCGGTGAAGTTCCTAAAGGAAGATAAGAGGGCTGGTTCTTTTCTCATTCGAGGGCTAAGTATAGCTATTCAGCGAGGAAAGCAGCCAGCGTTCTTGGTACGATACCACGGGGAGTAGAACTGTATGATAATGAAGTTATTAGTGTTAGTTTTTTTTTTAATTATAGTTTTTTAATATTGTATATAATTAATAAATTATATAAAGAATAATGAAGGTCCTAACCGGTATATAACTGTGGACATATAGCCAAGTAATGTTTTATTTGTTTGACCTGCTCAAAGTTCAAAAACTTTATTAAACTAAGTTTGTATAAAAAGGGTTATTATAATATTAAGGAATTTATGGATGATAATAACCCCTGGAAATGAGGTGATCGCTACCAAGCTATTTCTAATTTGTTGTGTTGTTAATTGTGTAATATACATGATTGTAAGCTGTTATTTAAAAAAAAAGTCCCGCTAGGTTTCTTGCTGGTTCTTCCCAGGACAGAGGTTTTTTGCGAACCAGTGGTAATCAAACAAAAGAGTGACTTTCAATAAGTATTATTTATAATATACGTTGAATAAAAAAGTTTCTGTTTCTGTTTTAAAAAATGCTTTTTACGGTATTTTTGTTATTATTACTATTCATATTTTTTAACAGCATTTTAATAAACCCAATCACTTTATCGACGTGGTTTTTCCGCAAGCATTGTACCGTGTCACAAATTAACTGCTATTTTCCTGTTGGACTGACCACGAGGTGACCTCATCGACATCGTAAACGATAATTGATATACCTTTTTTATGTTGTTATAAATAATTGGACGTATCTTTAGAAACAGGTTAAACAGGTCTCTAAATTTGTATACAAGTATACTTAGATGGCCGTTTGATTTGAATAATAACAAATCTTATGCAGAAACCGTGTAATGGCGGTGTGAGAATATCCACTACCTCATATCATCCCGTAGGTGTCGTAAAAGGCGATAGAGAGAAACAAACCGGGAGATGGGCAGCAGCGTCGTTTTTATAAGGGTTACAGACATCACACAGTCCACCTCACGGTAAGTGGATGCTGTAGCCCAAAAACTATCTACATTTATCCTCGATCAAGAATCAAAATGCAGATGCGTTGTCACCCGTGAGGACTAAGATAGAATGCCTCTTTTCCAGTAAAAAAAGGGTCTCCGGTTCTCTATATATACGAAACACAGCAGTGTTTAGCTGCTATTTCACGCTGGTATTCTGTGAGAGCGTGGTCCTACCCAGGTTGTAGCGTGGTTCTATCACATGTATAAACAACTAAAAAGCTACTTCTTCCTAAAAACTAAATATTAAAAATCGCGGTTGCCAACCTGCCAGGTAAGCGTTGCAACTGTTGCATATATGAGGCAATCTATGGGGGAGGCCTATGTTCAGCAGTGGACTTTAATAGGCTGTAATGGATGGATGTAAAGAAGATAATCTACCAGGAGCACATGACCCACTGAGAGGTGAAATTTTCAAATAAACAGTAACATTACGACTATGGCAAATATCCCCCTATGAGGTAATCTATGGAGGAGGCCTATGTTCAGCAGTGTACTTTAATAGGCCGTAATGGATGGATATATAAAAGATAATCTACCAGGAGCATATGACCGACTGAGAGGTGTTTTCAAATCAACAGTAACATTACGATTATGGCAAATATCTACCCTATGAGGCAATTTATGGGGGAGGCCTATGTTCAGCAGTGGATTTTAATAGGCTGTAATTTTACTGGCTGTCTATACTCTTCAGTACGAAGCAGTCCAAGCACTGATATTTGAAGGCACAATTTATTTTTATAGGATAAGGGTGACAAACGAGCACACAGTCCACCTGATGGTAAGTGGTTGCTGCGGCCCATAGACATCTACATCTATCTTCGTTTGCG